TTGCAGTGGTTGCATAAATTGAAGGAGCTGCTAAACGCGAACTTGTGAGAGATTTCCGGCAGAATAAACTCTTGGTGCTACTGCTTGTCTTTGCTTGTCCGGTAAGTGTATACAGCCATCGGATGTAGACACATTGCATATTTACATGGAGATTTGGACTCATTTAAAAAAAACGTCGTTAAGGCCACTGCATGACAACCGTCAAAACTCTATGCCAAAACGTTTTACGTATCGCATTCCAAGTTTATAAGCCTGATGCTTGAAGTTGTGTTGTAAAACTAATCATGGTGCAGCATAAATCTCTAATAATCCAGTCACCTCAGAGTGTCGGCTTTCGAAAGTACTTATTTTCGGCTGTATGCGAAATGTATACTCTGCAAAAAATGACTATTAATGCAGTACGCAATTTTCGCATTGATTTTCGATGGCCTTGAAAATTCAATTATATTTCAGGGGAATTATACATAAAAATAGTCATTGGTTTACTTTTGCGGTAGAAAATCACGTCTTCTTCCAATTTTATTTTAAAAAAGTGTCTAATTGTAAGATTTTGTAATACCGTTAAATGGCCGTTCATGCAACGTCATATATCAGCATTGACGAATGTGGCTTGTAAATTTAACAATATTGGATGCATTTCTCTACGGTGTTAAAAGGAGACCATATGAGGTTCATAAAATTAAGCAGTGCATTTGAGCAATATTGTTAACTTTACAAGCCACATTCGTAAATGCAAATACATGACGTTTCATGAACGGCCATTTATCGGTATTAAGAAGTCGCAAAATTAGAAACTTTTGGAAAACCGAATTAAACCTTTTGAGTATGACTTTGGAAGAAGACTTGATTTTCTACCGAATAATTAAAAGAATGAATAATTTTATGTATGTCTCCTAAGAAATATAATTAAATTGTAAAGGGCATCGAAACTCAATGTGTAAATTGCATGGTGCATATTTGCTTTCACTGGATGCCTAGGTATACATTTTATTTTTTGCAATAGGCCAAGGAAAAGCAGAGTACGCGATCAAAGGGCGGTGGAATAACGGCAGGTCTAAATTGTCGGCTCATTCGATCTGCTTGCGAAGAGCGATAATCGCATGTTCTATGAACTAATCCAGTCATAATCTTCTAGCCTTCAGGCCATTAACAAGCACAACGACCGCTTCCTCCCATATGTAATGCTGAGATGGCCAGTAATCAGTCAAAGGCAGCGCACTAATCGTACGAGTGGCAACAGTCTGCGACGATGAAGGAAGTCGTTAATTTTCCGAGGCAGGCGGTTGCATGTCGACTGGGTCCTACAATCAATACCGCCCCTTGTGCATGAACTAGGGCGTTTTGAACCTACATAACATCACTACCGATAACAAGACCAAGCATTGTTGCAACAAGAAGTTATATTGGGAGGCCAATAGCATAGCCCATGTGATTTACATCACCCAATCTACAGGATTCAAAAAACGCACACGAGGCCGAGACGATCCACCCTACTTGTGCGCAGGTTTCCACGTGGCAACTGGAGATACGATCGATGTAAATAAGGAAGATGCAATCCCTGAAGCAGGATGTACATTGGCCTGACATTTCGGATTGTCACTAGAACCCACCATGAGAGGCAGTCAAAGAAAAGGGGATATAGGAGCACAAAGTACGTACTATCCATACGACCCGGTTCCCACGGAAACATGCGCCTAGCATAGTTGGCATTATGAGACTTCATCGCTGGGCGTCTTAGATGATGCGGAGATAGCTCGTCGGCCCATATACAGGCCGACAGTTATCGTGAGTTCATCAACCTTGCTGAGCATTAGCATTACGATTTCTCGTCAGATTGGCTCGCTGTTACCGTGACTGTTTTTCATCCACACACAGACAAAATCACAGCACAGAATATGGAAGCGGGAATTCACTGCACTTGATAATTCATTGTGGGTTGACGCCCGGAAACTGCGTTTCGGGAAATGGTAGAATGTGCTTACAATTTGTGATATCTAAACCATAAATGTTCAAAAATTCTCAACGTCTTATGCTGGATGAAATGAAAGACTAAAATTAGTAGGGGAGCAATTCACTCAATTACAAAATGAAATTCCTCTTTATCTTATTACAGTGATCGATAGCACTTTGGAAGTCAAAGAGAACAGCAATTAAGTGTTTACGAAGACGATGTACGGAGATGTAAAATTATTCAACGTTTCTGTTTAATGTAATGATTTGTCCTACTGACGAAGCTATCTTTAATGCTTTCTTTGCTGTACGTGACAGTTGACGATGTACTTATTTGCGAGTCGGAAGCAGGTGCGCATTGTATCGCGCCCAATGAATGCTGGGAAGTTATTAACCGTGAGACATGTATTTTATGTTTTCTGATTTAACATGCTCATGCGTAAAGTAATGTTACGTAGGATTTCCATAGGAATTATTTGGACTAGTGAAAAAGCATGTTTGTTATAATGATGGACGCACGCAGCAGTTTTTATGTTGGGCCTCGTATGTTTTCGACGATTGCAAACAAACCCTAAGCTTACGCATGGAAGGAATCGACGTTTAAAAATAATTGCCAAACATTCGCAACCTGACACCAATGTGTGCACTTAGTATTTATGATTTTCAAGCACCTCTTTAATATAATTTAAGATGTCAGTGGAAGATAAAAAGCAATATTAAGTTGTTTAGAAATTCTAATTTTTGGAAAGGTGCAAAAACCCAAAGACGCCAAAAATGGTTAGAATTTAGTTATCTTTGTTTATGGATGTACAGAATGTCTTTTCATGCAATATTGTGAGTAAATATGAAAACACAAATAAAAGGACAGTTTTGAATAATGTATTAGTGGGATTTACAGTTGAATGTCCTTAAAGAATAAGTGTATGGCGGTTTGCCAATAGCCGTCATTCTGTGTATGGATTAGAAAACAGTTTTCCGAGACTTTGCGTAGTACTCTACGCATTTTAATTTCTCAAGCTGTGGTTCAATAAGAGCAACACGATTTACCCTAATATCACCAAACCAAGCGTCATATAAGGCCACATTCTGTCTATCCGATCGGTGCCAATTAATGTTAAATACAATTGACAGATGCAATTGTAGACGTGCCACATCAAGCTTATAAATGTATAAAGATTGCATAAATTTAGACTCCGTTCTATGATTCTGAATGCACGGCATAGTGTTTCTATAAACACTGTTATTTTGCTAGAACTTGTAGTAAGTCATTCGTGATGTTTCTGAATTATGTGTTTGGAGAAGCTCGACTGCACAAAAAGTAATGCTTTACGTGTCCGAAACTGTAAATGACTATTCGGCGATGGCCATTCCTGCGGTATCAATTAGAATTTTCCAAACGGACAAAAAGACAAATTAAGTCCGTTTAAACGGGGGATCACTTGTTTGCGTTATTACTGAACTTCAACGCACCAAGTCGCACAGATCTGCTAACGTAACTTCTAAAATTCGATTAAACATCCGCTTCTCTAAAAGTAGCCGTTAGATTTGAAAGTAGATTCCCACGATTAGCAATAAACAAAAAAATGAAATCTTAAGCACTGCAACCTCTTTCTATTTGAACTATCGAGTGCAAATTACTCTTCCTCAAAGAAACAGTTTTTCAGGTGCGCAACGGAAGTCCACGACCGGTATTAACACAGGAGATTGCCAAGTGCATTGTGACGTCAGTTTTCGCCCAAATTCATAAATATTTTCCTTAAAAGATTTACGTGGATACAGTTTCCACGCAAGAAGCGAACACTACCTTAAATGGGGCTGGATGGGCAAGCAAAATTCGCAAGGGTAAGAAAATTATTGCAACAGTTCTCGTCATCAGATTTCATGAGATAGGTCACATGCTGTCTATATGTGACAAGGATTAGAAGGTCAGGTCATGGAACGTGTTCGTAACTTTGGGTCTGAGGCCACTCTTTCTTCAACACAGGCAGTTGGATCGCCGAACTTATAAGACAGTCTGTCTGACAAAGTCAAAAACATGTATAAGTGGCGACGCGAATCGTTCATGTCTTTGTCGATGCTTCCACTCTGCAAACATACGAGTTTTGCTCATATTCACCTCGGAAAGGTTTGCTTCGCAAATATGCACGTTCCGGGCACAGTCATCTATGGCGCACTGCGTCCGCTCTAAAGAGTGAGTGATTTTTAGAAGTAATAACTGGGAAACCAACAAATCCTTGAGAAACTTCCGGTTACTTCCCTGTCTAATTTGCAACTGAAATGCTCCTTCTTCAGCCAAAAGATACGTGGTCGCTACCGGTCAGCTGCAAGGAACAAAGGC